ATTGACTACGTGCCATTTCTTAGAGAAAAGGATCAGTTTCTTGGGTCACACAATCGAAGACAGCAAAATATGAAGCAGCTAAGATAAACGCCATGAAAGAGTTGAAAGATATCTTATCGCAAGAACCAGTCCTTCGGTTATATTGCAGAGAAGCGCCAACAAAACTGTACACTGATGCTTCAATGAACGGTTTCGGGGGCATACTGATGCAGAGATTCGACGGTTATATTCTCACAATTATATTCTTGAAGTAAAGGCAGCTTACCTAGCTGTCAAGAAGTTTCGCCACTACCTTCTGGGGATTGGATTCAAATTGGTAACCGCCTGTGCCTCGTTTTCCCAGACTGTAGAAAAGAAAGATGTACCAAGAGAAGTCGCAGATTGGATTCTATACCTCGAGGACTTCACATTCCATGTTGAGCATCGCGCCGGGGAGAAAATGAAACGCGTAGACAGTCTCAGTCGTCACCCAGTTGATGTTTTTACGGTAACATCAGAAGTCTCTGTTCAAGTAAAGATGGCCCAACAAAAGGACAATTATATCTCTGCCATTCTCGAGATACTGAAGTCGCAGCCCTACAAAGACTTTCAACTAAAAGAAGGAATCCTGTTCAAAGTGGTGGATGGAAATGATGTTATGGTTGTACCTAAGTCAATAGAGTACGAAGTTATAAAGGAAGCCCACGACGTCGGTCATTTCGCACTGCAGAAAACTATGCATGCCTTGCAACAGCAGTTCTGGTGGCCCAGATTATCAACAATTGTGTCAAATGCATTCTTATAAATAAAAAAGTTGGAAAGCAAGAAGGTCTTCTGTATTGCATTGAGAAGGGAGATAAACCACCGCACACTCTTCATGTGGATCACCTTGGACCAATGGATGCGACATCTAAGCAATATCGGTTCGTTTTTGCAGCCGTGGATGCTTTTACCAAATTTGTTTGGTTATTCCCAACCAAAAGCAGCGGAAGTGACGAGGTTGCGAAGAAGTTGGAGGAATGGTCGGTAGTATTTGGTCACCCAGTACGGATCGTAAGCGACAGAGGAGTCCCGTTTACATCGAATCAATTTCAGGAGTACGTCGTAGGAAATGGCATTGAACATGTTTGGACTACTATAGGAGTTGCTAGAGGAAATGGCCAAATTGAACGCGTAAACAGGATAATAATTTCGATGGTCGCTAAATTGTCTGCAAATGCATTACAAAGTTTGCGATAGTGTGTTGGCTGTACTGGAACAAAAAATGATCAATGATTTTGATATGGAAAGGAACCAATTACGTCAGGAGGCGAAAATTCAAATTCAAGAAGCCCAAGAGAAGTACAAAAGAAATTACGTCAAGAAACGAGTTATGGAAAAAGTTTATAAAGAAGAAGATCTAGTTGCCATAAAGAGGACACAATTTGTTGCTGGGAAAAAGCTTGCTAGCTCTTTCCTTGGTCCTTATACAGTAACCAATGTGAAGAGAAATGGACGATATGACGTCAAAAAAAGCTGCACTAGTTGAATGAACTGATTGCTACATCGACTAGTTCGGATAATATGAAGCTATGGAAGTACGTAGTCGAAAATGAGGATGGACCATCGTCTGGGTCAGACTCGGAGTATCAGGATGGCCGAATGTCAAACATAGTTCACGATATCAATAGCTGTCATCGGCCAGGTCAGCTGTGCTCCGGTATAGACGGTGTGGCCAGATCGGATGGAGACAGGAAAGACTGGGGCAAGAAAAGTGGAAGGAACACACAGAGAGTTGAACTACCGAAGAGTTCACATCGGGAGAATATTGCTAAGAGGAAATTAAAGTCGTCGCCGTGGAATCAAGTCCGAGTACAAGAAGTTGGTACGCCGGAGGGTCCATCGCAAATCCAGTTGAATCAAGTCGTCAAGAGTCATTACATTCAGTTGCTCTAAGTGTCGTCGCTCTAAGTTCCGTTCTTCGAAGTCGTTTCGTAACCAACTACCATTGATTTATCATTATTCCATACAACCCTGCAGGAAAAATGCGAACTAGTCTGAAAAACAACTAGTTATACAACTAATATAAAGCAACCGGAATTTGTCTGAATGCATTTGGACTACACAGGGTCTAGAAAATTTGTGCTAGTCGAAAAAATGATTAATACAAAACTAGTAAAAAATAAACTTGTCTCGGACTAGTACCTTTCTAACAAAAAAAAACCTTAAAAATATTTAACTGGTAGAACAAATACATGTTAGGGTCTAGTTAAAAGGCAACTGGAATTTAACTAGTTGCAAATGAAATACATATGATCCAAAAATATAGCCTAGAGTGTAAATGTCTTGGGAAATTTAGCACTAAACAAATCGAACACTCGAGGACCTCGGTTCAATCCCCAGCCTGTGTACATTTTTTTTTTTGCTTTTTGTTTGCTAGGTGATGCTTTTTTTTATGCAGTTTCAACAACATTCGCTCGGGACATGTCGCTCGGGACATTTTTTCCGACTGTTTTGTAAAGCGGATTTCTTTACCTCTATCTCTCAATTGCTGGATGTTTTGCTTTTAACTTAATAATTTAACATGTGAATGAAGCATTCAGTACAGAAAAATGTCACATATTAGCATTCCTATAGGATAAATTAACAACAGAAGACACGTCCAAAAAATAACAAAAAAATAGCCAAAAACTAACTTTTTGTATATTATTGGGGTTTGTCATAAAAATAATCAAACTATACTCCTAATTTTTAGTTTAGCTCAGGATCCAACTAATTAAAAACTAATATGGCAGCAAAATCATGTGGAAATATGTTTTTTTTCAAGTTTCAAGTTTTTTGGCTTGGTGGACCTTTTGGTGGAAGTGTCCATATGTAAAAAATCACTGTTTTTAAATTATGTCACACTAAAATTCATAAACCTTGTTAGGGCATTACAAAATGTGATGCGTGTATGGCTCAATTAGTTAGTGTGTCTACAAACCCAAAGCCCCCGGGTTAAAACCTAAGAGGGGGCGCCTCCCCCCAAAAAAAAAAAATTTTTTTTTTTTATTTTTTTTATATTTAATTATTTATATATAAAAAAAAAAAAAAAAAAAATATAAAAAGACCGCGCTATTGATTGGATACTAAATTAGGAGAGCATCAAGTTTGGCATCGTCAAGTACTAGTGAAATTGAATCACTTGTTGGTTTCGAGATTAATTTTTAGTTTTTTCGTGAAAATGTATTTTTAATAGTCCAAAACTGATTCCGTTTCCTGCAGGGAAATATCTTATGTACTATTAAATAAACCAGGCCCAGTACCTTACATATTCTATATATATATATATACCTATATATGTATGGTATACTCATTTTTAAACGACATAATTTCGCGCGATCTTATGTCGTTTGGCAGCGACATAATTTCTCGGCTGGAGAAATTATGTCGTTTATTCCTCGGAGGACTTATGTCACTTTTAAACGTCATAAGTTCTCCACAAATAATTTTTAAACGACACAATTTCGAGCGATCTTATGACGTTTAGCAGCGACATAATTTCTCCAGAAAAAAAGACAAAAATTCCCCGGACCAAAATAACGGGAAGAAAAAAAAAGGAAGAAAAAAAAAAAGAAATCCTTTTTAAAAAAATTTTTTTTGAAGTAATAAATTAAAAAAAAACCATGGAAAATGTTGATAAAAGAGTGGATGTAAAGTTAATTACAGAATGGGAAAGTGCTTCACCATTAGACTCTGCTGGACCTAAAAGACATTGTGCTAGATCTCTTATTTCAAAGTCCAACTTCCATAGCGTAAAACAGTTTTCAGAAAACTTCTTTGCTTTTCAAATGAAAAGGTTAAATGTGTTATACAATAAACCTGTATATTTGGGTTTTGTTGTATTAGATTTATCAAAATGGAAAATGTATGATTTTCATTATAATTATATAAAACCCAAATACAATGAAAATGTGCAATTAAATTATATGGATACAGATTCTTTTATATACACAATTAATACTGATGATTTTTATAAAGATATTCAAAATGATATTGAGATGAAGTTTGATACATCAGATTATTCTGATGAATTATTAAATCTCTATAATTTTCCTAAAGCTAATAAAAAGAGGTTGGGATTTTTTAAAGATGAACTCAATGGAAGACCGATGACTGAATTTGTTGGTTTAAGATCGAAAATGTATGCCTTTAGGTCATCTAATATTAATGACATCTCTGAAAAAACAGTGAAAAAATCAAAGGGGGTTAAAAGAAGTGCTATTGATCAATTAACTTTTAATAGTTTTAAAAAATGTTTGTTTTCAGAAGAGGAAGTGGTCGGATCTATGTCAATGATTAGATCTAAAAATCATCTTTTATCAACAGTTAAATGTAAAAAAGTTGTTCTCAGTCACAAAGATACAAAGCTCGTTATACAAAACGATAAAATTAATACATTACAATATGGACATTATAAAATAGAAGAAAACAAATTAGAAAATAAACTTGATGAAATAAATGCAAATATTTATGTTTTCGAGCAAAGAATAAAAGAAATAGAGAATTGTTCTAATAGAAATAATAATCAAGACATTGAAATAGAAAAATTAAAGAAAAATATTGATGATTGTACATTTGAAATGTTTTATACAGAATTAGAAATAAATTTACTGGATTGTGAAAAAGAATAAATGTAATCTATAATAAAAATAAATGAAATCTATAATAATAATAATAATCTACCAACATCACTTTTTATTTAAAGGTTAATTAAAGGTAATGTATAAACCATATATTACAAATCAAAACAGCATTATAAAATTTTTATTTTTAAAAGAATAAACATCGCTTTTTATTTAAAGGTTAATTAAAGGTAATGTATAAACCAAATATTACAAATCAAAACAGCATTATAAAATTTTTATTTTTAAAAGAATAAACATGGCTTTATTAAGAGGTTAATGTTAAAATTTCTCAGAACAATATTATAAAATTTTTTTATTTTTTTTTTTTTTTAAATTTAAAGAACAAACATAGCTTATTAGAGGTTAATGTTAAAATTTCCAAAAACAATATTATAAATTTTTTATTTTAAAGAACAATTAAAATGTTTTCTTCGAATTACATTCAATTTGCTTACTTTCTTCTATATTTAGTGGTATAGTTTGTACATAACTATTTATACCACCCTCTAATATATAGATTTTATTATCATCATTACTTAAAGGAATTGATTTTATATATTCATCATTATCCTTATCTAAATTTAAAGGAATAGTTTGTATGTAGTTACTTATTCCACCTTCGACAAGAATAGATTCCTCCTCACTAGGTGATCTTGTAATACATGGCTCTGGATTATCCTCATCGAAAATATTCACATCATGGTCATCATCATCATCATCATCGTCATCTTCATCATATGAACCCAGAGCGTCGTCTTTAACCTCTTTTTTGTTGAAGTTTTGAAATTCTGAAAATATAAATATTATTAGTATAAATATTATTTTATATATGTATATTTATTAATCAACTCACCTTTTAGTACTCCACTCGAAATAGTATTATTAACCTCTTTTTTGTTAAAGTTTTGAAATTCTGAAAATATAAATATTATTAGTATAAATATTATTTTATATATGTATATTTATTAATCAACTCACCTTTTAGTACTCCACTCGAAATAGTATTATTAACCTCTTTTTTGTTAAAGTTTTGAAATTCTGAAAATATAAATATTATAAGTATAAATATTATTTTATATATGTATATTTATTATTCAACTCACCTTTTTGTACTCCACTCGAAATAGTATTAGCAACTTCTTTATTTAAATTCTGCAAAAACAAACATATTTCCCTACTCAATCAGATTATAGTATCACTATTAGTTATTTTGAAGTCATTAATGTCATTAATTAGAATTGTATCTGTACTAATCTCACTTTCTTTTTTATTTAAATACTCAGTTAGCATTTGAGATTCTATATTTCTCTTTCTCAAATATATTGCATTAATTTTTTCTGCTGTTTCAATACCTATTTCATTTATTTGTGGGTCATCTCCAAGATATCCTGGTTCTACATCTCCAATCTCTTCCCTTTTACTCTCTTGCATAGAAATAATATCAGCATCTTTCGAAATTCTTTCATATACTTTCCTATCTTTCTGTCTCTCTGCATGTATTAGTGCATGTGTTAGAACTTCAGCAAATTCAAAGCAATTTATTCTTAATGTTGCTAGGGGAGGACTAATATTTCGTTTAGATTTTCGTTGCTGGTGGTGGTGGTGGTGGTGGTGGTGGGGAGTAGTTATATGTTTTGAATTCCTACGTTTAGATTTATTTACACTACGTTTAAAATTCAATCTTCTATATATATTATTGTAGTGACATTTAACACCTACCGTAGCACTTTTATATTTTACGGTGAAGAATCTATTTAACCCCCTTCTTCCTAAATCCAGATGCCCCCCTATTTTCCTTTCATTCTCAATTAATTGCTTTTTAAAATTCTCTATTATTCCTCTCTTTGTAAATTCTATTTCAGTGTTATGCATGTTTACAGTGTTTTTTAATTTATGTGTGATATTTCTTTTTATTGGAACTCGTCCTATACTTTCGAATTCTGACTCACTATCATTGATACCAATCCCTATTTCTTGAGTTGTGTTAGTTATTTTAGGTGCTTCACTTACGTTTTGAAATTCTGACTCACTATCATCGATACCAATACCAATTCCTTGTGATTTTTCAGCTCCTACGCTTTTATTTTCTATTTTCTCAAAATTTGTATCTTTAGTAATATCAAAATGATTGAGTGAGTTTGTTGTTGTTGTTGCAGATGTTGTTGTAGTTGCAGATGTAGTTGTAGTTGCAGATGTGGTTGTTGTTGTAGATGTTGGGGTACTTGATTCTTCTTCTTCCTCCTCCTCCTCCTCCTCCTCCTCCTTATTACTTATCAAAGTAGGTGGGTTTGATGTTGATGTTGATGTTGTAGGTGTAATTGTTGTTGTTGTTTTTATTTTTTCTTCAAGCACAGTTGTATTAATACTATTATTAGCATTAATTATTTTCATGTCCACTTCACTTTTTAAATTTTTTTCACTGTCATTAGTACTATTCTTCATAAGATCTATAAAAATATGGCTATCTTCCAAGATCTCGAATTTTAAGTCAATTTTTATGATTTTATTTAATTTCGGCATATTTATAAATACTCCAATTGAGTTATTTGAGATAGAGGGTTTCTCAATGATTAACATTTCACTAGGCACCGGCAACATTTTCACAACCGGATTCATTAATGATATTAAAAAAAATATTATCAAGAACGACATTTTAAGTTTTTTGATAAATGCACACGCAAACGAATAAACGATCCGAAATTGACTTGCGCAAACGAGTAAACGATCCGAAATTGATTTGCGGGAACGAATAGACGGAAACTGAAAACTTTTTAAAATGCTTCCCCCCTTTATAACATCTAGATTTGTATATGTATATACATAAATATATACATGAGTCTATTTCACGCATTGACGTCAATGCGTACATTTTAATTGATTGTATGCCTCAAGTTGTTGTTTTTGTGAATCCAACTATCAGCTAATTTTGGAAAAGTCTAGACAGTGCGTAACTATACAATCATTTTTTTTTTATTTGTTTTAGATTCTTTAGAGTTTAAGTTCCATACAAAATTCTTATCTGCACACACACACACGCTCTCTTAACCTACTCAACTCACAAGCACATAATCAATTCCATTCGAATTCTTATCTGTACACGCACGCTCTCTTAACCTACTCAACTCACAAACACATAATCAATTCCATTCGAATTCTTATCTTTACATGTCTCTTCACACTTTATAAATAGGATTGTGTGTGTGTGTGTGTGTGTGTGTGAAGAAACATAATTTGATTTGAGTCATTGACGTCAATGTGTGAAATGCCTAACCAACGCACAAGCACATAATCAATTCCATTCGAATTCTTATCTTCACATGTTTCTTCACACTTTATAAATAGGAATTGTGCGTGTGAAGAAACATAATTTGATTTGAGGCATTGACGTCAATCTGTGGAATTTAATTTTTCTTCGCATTTTCTTGATTTTATAGAATTTCTTTTTTGTGAATCCAACTATCTTCCGATTTTGAAAAGCCTAGCCAACGCACAAGCACATAATCACCTTTTTGTTTCAGAATCTTTTCAACAAGATAAGTATTAGGGAATTTTGTTTTTTTAATTTCTTGTTTATAGAAGCCCCCTTGAATTGGATCACCCTTCAAGTCTTCAAGTAAATATGTGGTGGGTGATGTATTTTGTACTTTCCGAATTCGAAAAATTTCCGTTGTCCAGTTTGGAGTATAACCTTTTTCAAAGACATGCTTATATTTACTTATTCGTACATGATCCCCCTCTTTAAACTCTCCATTTATGAATATTTTTAGATGATTGTATGATCTCATCAAAATCTGTTTTTCATTTTTAGCATTAACATCAATGGGTTTCATTTTAATTGTTCTATGCTTCCTATTGTTATAATTATTAATCAATTCTTTGTATATTTCAAGCCATGTATATTTTCCATTAAAACTGAACTCACGCCACATAAGTTCTTTTATTGTTCTATTAAAACGTTCCACAATAGATGCTTTAAGAGTACTAAATGTTGAGTAATGATTAATTTCATATCGTTTCATTAATTCTCTAAATTGTTTATTATAGAATTCATTTCCATTATCTGTTTGTAAATTCTTTGGTACTCCACGACCAGATTTTATTATTTTTTCCATTGCTCTTGTAACTTCTTCTGCATTTTTTGATTTTATTGCTTCACCCCATCCATATTTAGAAAAGGTATCTATTACTGTTAATAGATACCTAAAGCCTTTATTCGATGATGCATATGCCCCCATTTCAACTAAATCAGCCTGCCATAAATCATTAATACCCTTTACTATAACTCTACGTCTTGGAAAATTCTTGAATGATGGTCGATGTAACTCATTTACAATATCTCGTTTACTCATGACTTTATTTGATTTGGTACAAATGGTTTCTTCTCTAAAGATTCAGTTTCACTTTTTAAAACTGCAGTCGGTGCAATGATATAATTGAAAATGTTACTTTCTATTTCATTTATATCCTCTACTATCTTATTAATAGTTTTCAAAAGATAGTCCAATTTTTTAGAAATTTCACTCACTTTTCCCTCAATATTATTGATTCGAGGTCTTAATCTAAAGATTTCTTGTTTTTGTGGTTGTTTAGAAATTTCACTAGATGTATTCTGTACTAGTTTACTTATTTCATCATCTACATAAAATTTTGTTGCAATATCATTTTCATGAATGGGGGGTAGGGAATTTTTAAATCGTTTCCTCTGAATATTTAAATGTCCATCATAATCATTGAGTATACTTTGAAATTTTTCTACACCTTTTGTTATATCTCTTGAGTACTCTTTCTCATTTAAAAAACAACCAAACTTATCAACTGACATTTTAATTATAAAATAAAAAATGAAAGAACGGTATATTTATGTATGATCCACATTAATTGTTAAGACCTCTTCTTCTTCGTTTTTACGATGTGAAAATGGACTACCTCGAAGTATCGTTCCATCTATTTGTATCTGATCAGAACGAGTGATTGGTGCGGGTTTTTTCCGTAAATTTTGATTTATGAAATTGTTAAGATTTTCCAATTTATCAAGAAGCTCTTTTAATCTATTATGTATATTCTCCATTTGAGTTACCATTTTTATTACTTTACTTTCCAACTCTGATACTCTTTTATTTCGTTGATGAAATGATTTAGTTATAGTTTCGATTTGTTGTGATTTCGCTTCGTTAATTTTCTCATCTACATAAAATTTAATAGCCAAATCATTACCATTTATTGGTTTTGAAGAGTTTTTAATTCTTTTTTTCTGAACATTTATGTGACCATCAGTATCTAGATTTAAACCTGTAAGACTCTCAACTTCCCTTTTGAAAAGTGAGGAAAAATCTCTATCATTTGAAAAGTGACCAAACTTGTCAATAGACATTTTACTATTAAACCAAATGAGAAAATGTTTTCCCTTTTATTAATATATTATTTTTGCTTCACGCAATTCTTCTATTATTGAAAGAATTTCATTAGTATGGTTATTATTACCAGCAGCTCTTGATGCCATTAAGAGTTGTAATCTTTCAACAAGTTCATTCACATTATCCCAATATACATAATTTGGTGGTAATTTTTGTAGTCTCATATACCCAGAACCAGTATATTCTTTATTTACTGAAGACGACGATATTAATGGTTTAATAATTGAAGAATATTTTTTAGAACGATTTCCTTTTATTTGACCATCTGGTTGGTAGTTTCTTTTGTGAGCACTTGTTTCAATTAAAATGTTTCTATATGAATTTAAATCATTCTTAGTATAATCCTTAGGATTGTTATGAAAAATTAAAGAGTATAAACCAGGTGATAGAGTCCATAATTTTCCGCTTCCTAATTCCATTTCATTTTTTTTAATTTTAAGTGTACTATTACCCAACATTAAAATATTATTTTCTTCTCTTGGTCCATAACTATTATCTAAAATCTTTTCTTGTTTTAACTGATTAATATTGATATTATACTTCACCTCGGTTTCTTCATATACACTTTCATTTAAATCATCTATATGAGAGTGTTGTGAAACATCAGATTCGTCTATAAGAGATTCATGAGAAATGTCAGTTTCATCTATATGAGACTGCTGTGAAACATCAGATTCATCTATATGAGAGTGTTCTGAGTAAGCATCAACATAAGCATCACTCTCACTATCACTTTCAATTACTCTCTCCTCTACCCTTTTATTAGTTTTAGGTACGTTAATTTTCTCTTTCTTGAATTTGGTCTTAACATTGTGTGTATCATTAATATACTTTTTTTTCTTATTTAATTTTTTATTTTCACTTAGTAATTCATTTAAAGGTTCTGTAATAGGTTTAAAAGTTTCCTCCAAATTTGATACGTTCTCATTTTTTATTTGCTTCAATTCATCAAATTTTCTTTTTAATGAATTCCTACTTTTTGTCAACTGTTCTAAAAGATTTCGCTTCATTGTTGTAGTTTTCTCTGATACTCATGTAGTACTGGGGAGAAATGTAGTATAATATAAATATTTATAACAAAGTGTTTTGAGTTTAATGAAATTTTATTTTTATTTGATAAAACAAGTACATTAATAATATTAAAATTTAATACATTTTAAGCTTTATTTAATTCTAAATAGAGGTTGTTATCATTCCTTTTAATAATACAAAACATATTATCTTTTATATATTCAATGGTTGAATCATCTAAAGTCGAGTATCGTTCCGGTAAGTACAGCATATACTCTTCAAGTTCAAGAGTGAGGGCCATTCCAAAGCTGGTTTTTTTGCGTTGAGCTCGTCGAATAGGGTAGCACACATCCGATTCCATCTTTGTCTTTGTTAAGAGAGGCTTTGGTAGGTTAGCATTAAAATCCTTGAGTACCTTCATCATTTCTGGGTTGACCATTTGTAGTTGTTTCTTCATCTAGTTGTTTCTTCTTGTTATTGTTATTGTTTTTGTTGTTTGTAGTTGTTTGTAGTTGTTTGTAGTTGTTTGTAGTTGTTTTTATAGTTGTTTTTTATAGTTGTTTTTTCTTGTTATTATTGTTTTAACTGTTTTTCTTGTTTGCGAGATGATTTACGTTAAAACTTGCAACTTAAAACTTAGGTTGAGACAGTTTACAAGTGGTTTTTCAAATGCGACTTAAAATAACTTTTGATCGAGTTTTTATACCTTTTGGTAAACTAGCCCTCC